GGTCCTGGCAGTGTGAAGGAACACCCTCCAACCCTAGCTGATGCCTTTCCATGATTTGCCCAAAGGTATGGCTTGTGCTAGCAGTAGCGCCATATAAGGCTTGGCAGATGTCTTTACCTATCTGCATGAAATTCACAAGCCAAACCAGGGCCTTTTTCTCAGGCAAGGCAGAGGGCACCAGTGACTGATTCCAGCCAGTCCCCAGCACCACTGCTACCAGCATATTTAGAGAATGACTCATATAACTGGGTAGAAGGGAGAAGGAGGGAGACAATTAGTCACACTTGGAGGTAGGAGGGCAGGAGAGAACTTCTTTGGAATTCTGGGATTCAAGAAGAAAGATAAATGATGCCAAGCTTCTTTCAGGAAATCCAACAAGCCTCACAAAGTAGCTTTCATGCATTGCAGAAAGGCATGGGCATTGAGTGGAAATGGCAGCCGGATGTAGGCTGGAGACAGGAGACTAACTTATCTGTCAAATTGGCAAGTTTATGCATTTAGAAGCTGACTGGATCCCAGAGAGGGGCATGGAAGTCACCAAGAACTATAGGTTCTTTAAGGGACGCATGGCCAAGAGGAGAGACTCTGTAGAAGTGGTTCACAGCAAATTGTCGGCTGTGGATTGAAGCAGGATGCAGTGATATTTCAGCAAGTTGCTGCAGTGAGATGGTAGGAGGCACCCTGACTAGCTGAGGAGGGCATTGTAATGCAAGCAGGAACACGGAACCAATGACAACCAAGGCTGAGAATTTAAGACCTTTTCTCCATCAATCCGCAAGGGGCTATTTTATCAGATCCTTCAGGAGCTTATAATAAACCCTGTTAGAGGAAGAGAAATCAAATAAACAGCACTGAATAGAAGGGAGTTTTCAAAACAAAATTAATGAACCGTCACTAGGTCCTTCGAGTTTACTTGAAAGTGGCCAGGTGCAGTTGCTGGCATAGGGACTGGAGGCAGGCATTGCATGGTGGGGACATTGTGGAGTGTGTGATGTGAACTCCGCACCCAGCACATATTGTTGCAGAAAAGCAAATCGAGCATGTGGGCAGTGGGCAAGGTGACTCTCGCTGGGTGAGGCTTTAGCACAGCTGATGTGGGAGGCTTACTGGGTGGCAGGAATGAGAAGAATCAAAGCCAAAGCAGGAATAAGTGAGGCGTGGTGTGTGAGTGCTGAAGTGCTGAATGGAATGAGCGAAAACCATGTGCAGTTGAGTAACAGGGTCAGAAAGGCAAATGATTTGCTTAAAGGTCATCGATGAAAGGGCAGGATTGGAACTTCTGTCTTCCAACGAGCAATACAGTGTTTCATACATTTCCACATTTATCTTCTTGTGAAAACACACAGATACACAGAAAGCACAAGATCATGCAACCATAGGAATGAAAGGCAAAATGTATCTAGTCCTCTGTCTCTCAGGTGACTTAGTATCATGTTTTACAGTCATCTTGGCAGCTGGTCAAATTGCCCGAGCTAGAACACTTCTAATCCTGGGAAATTCTCATACTTTCAGACACAACTTAGTCTATTTGTCCATTACTGCACAAACTGGCATGGAGTTTTTTATAGGGAGCTGACATTTGCCTCCATGAATCGAACTCTCTTAGCCCTGCCCTCCAGTTTCCCATATAATGAATTACTTCCTCTTCCAAGACATAATGAAAATAATCACTAACCAGTCAAGGACCTATGGTGTGCCAGGCACAAAGGGTGGCATTATACCCATCCCAGGGCCTCTGGTTCATGTTCCAGACATCCCTGGTCTTGTTCTTCTCTGGACTGTCTCTAGCTTGATAAGTCCATGTGCCCCTACCCTGATGCAGTTCCTCTGCTCTAGGGCCTGCTGTGATGAGCAGACTGTGCACAGCAGACTGCTCCTGCCTGGCTCTGAGCATCCATGTCTTCCCTTTCTAGGAGAGGACTGCACCTCTCTTTTTATCTGCTGCTCTCAGTGTGGCCCCAACACCAGGAAAGCAGTCATTTCACCAATGTTGGCTTTCTCCAGGAGAAGCTGAGCCAAATGGAATCCACCCAGCCCAGCTGCAGCTGAAATCCATTCCTCCCTTCTAAATCCTCTAGGCCATTTACTTGAGAAAATAAATTTATTTGAGGCCACAGAGAAAAGTAGTTTGTTTTAAAGAATGTAAACTAATTTTAATATTTAAGCAAGTTATACTATTTGACATAATTAGTAAGGTATACTTGTGAAGGATCACACAAAAGATTCCAAATTGCAATTGGAGCAACTGTTGACTTAGATTATCAATTGAAATGAAAATGATATGGGCATACCTTTCCTCAGTTTCAAACAAACTTAGTGTAATAATACTTATCATTATCATCACCGTCTTTACTTCTTACAGAATGTTTTCAAGCGAGTCAGGCACATAGTGACAACTCTATGAATTGGATACCATGATCATTTCTAGCTTTTTGATGAGGAAACTAAAGCCCAGAGAGGTGACGGACCTTGCCCAAGATCCCATGTCGGGAAAACGGTAGAGCCAGGCTTCAAGTCAGGCATTCTGCTCTGATGCCTCAGTGGCAAGGCTGCTTATCAGCTGTGCTAGATGTTTATCAGCCTGCCACGTCCTGGCATTGACCCATCAGTGAATGTAAATTTGTTCACACCTAGAGACCTGTCTCCCTTTGACCTACAATTCTTTTTTTCTTTTTTGAGACAGAGTCACTCTTGTCACCCATGCTGGAGTGTAATAGCATGATGCTTACTGCAAGCTCCACCTCCTGGGTTCAAGTGAGTCTCCTGCCTCAGCCTCCTGAGTAGGATCACAAGTGTGTGATCCTAGTTAATTTGGTAATTTTAGTAGAGATGAAGTTTCACCGTGTTGGCCAGGCTGGTCTTGAACTCCTAACCTTAGGTGGTCCACCTAACTTGGCCTTCCAAAGTGCTGGGATTACAGGTGTGAACCACTGCGCCTGGCAACTTACAGTCATTTCAAATTCACCTGAAGTCTGATTCTTTCTGTGAATGACTGCCTTGAAATATTTTTCAGAATTAGATCTCTATAAGAGTAGCATCCTAGGCACTAGCAGGTCCTTAATACATATTTATTGAATGACAGAATTAGTGGCTCTGACCTCGTCAGTTTTCAACTCCCAGGTAAGATCAGATGCTTTTGAGTCCTGCTGTGGGGGTGGAGGCAGGCAGAGGAAGGGGGTAAATGTGATGCCTGGTCCATGTGCCCCTACCTTGATGCAGTTCCTCTGCTCTAGGGCCTGCTGTGACGAGCAGACTGTGCACAGCAGACTGCTCCTGCCTGGCTCTGAGCATCTTTCTAGGAGAGGACTGCACCTCTCTTTTTATCTGCTGCTCTCAGTGTGGCCCCAACACCAGTAAAGCAGTCATTTCACCAATGTTGGTTTTCTCCAGGAGAAGCTGAGCCAAATTCAATCTACCAACCCCAGCTGCAGCTGGAAGCCTACTCCTCCCTTACCTTGCCCAGGCTCAAAACATGCAGAATCCGGATCCCCCAGGCTGACTCCTTCCTCCCTCTCTCCTCTCTCTCTCTTTCTCAATATAAAAATATGTATGTATAGATAGACTACATCCATATATATATATATTTTGAGACAGAGTCTGGCTCTGTCGCCCAGGTTGAAGTGCAGTGGGGTGATCTCAGCTCACTGTAACCACTGCCTCCTGGGCTTAAGCCATCCTCCCACCTCAGCCCTTAACAACCAATTCAATACCTTTAAACAATTGCCTTTACTTTTACAGTTACTGGCTATTTACTGAAAATTTAATATAATTTTAAATTTAGAAATAGAAACTTCACAGGTGGAATTAAATTTCATACGATTTTCGGTAAACAGCCCCCAGTAACTGTAAAAGTAAAGGCAATTTTTAAAATTATATTTTAAAAAGTGAAGTAAAATAAGCGAGTCAATCTAGAGACATTTTAAGAACTTAAAGAAAACGTAGGTATGGATCTCTGGAGGTGGTAAGGAGCGATATGGCCCGTAGTTGTGCAGAAAACACAGTAATTACTTAAGTTTGGGAAATTCCAATTTAGGCCAAATTCCTTAAGGGAAATCGACAAGCTGGCTGGCTCTTTCTGTCGGCAGCTTCCCGATGGAAACGTGGCAGGCAAAGAAACAGGACAGGCCACATGAAGGCCTGGAGAGCTTTAAGCCCAGGTTGAGAGCACAGGTGTGGCCGGGCACTGTGGCTCAAGCCTGTAATCCCAGCACTTTGGGAGGCCGAGGCGGGTGGATCACGAGGTCAACAGATCGAGACCCCATCACAGTCAACATGGTGAAACCCCGTCTCTACTAAAAATACAAAAAATTAGCTGGGCATGGTGGCGCGTGCCTCTAATCCCGGCTACTCGGGAGGCTGAGGCAGGAGAATTGCCTGAACCCAGGAGGCGGGGGTTGCTGTGAGCCGAGATCACACCATTGCACTCCAGCCTGGGTAACAAGAGCGAAACTCCGTCTCAAAAAAAAAGCACAGGTGTAGGCTTTCTGGTGTAGGTTCCGACACACCTGCCTTTCATTCCGGCCTCCACGACTCATTTAGGCTGCGACCCTTGAGTTCTCCACTTTCTCTAATTCTCAGTTACTTCCTCCTTAAGAAGTGGCCCATAACTCACACCTTTTTAGGTTTATAAGCCCGTGTGTACATACACCAATTAGTGCAATGTATGGCACAGAGTCCAGAAATGAAGGATATTAAGTTGAGGTCATTTTTCTTTTGCGAGGACAAGCACAGGGCATGGGCTGGGGCCCAGGAGTGAAAACCAGCAGCGGCTTTTCCGCCCACCCTTCCTTCTGGGACACCCAGTGTGCTAAAACAGGGCATGCGGCCCACCCGTGGCCTAGGCCGTCGGTTCCTGACCATGCCTAGCTCCTCTGAGGTGCCCTCATCCCGTTCACTTCAGGCACCTCCAGAACACTGGCCTCCCGCGCGCCGGAACCCGCGTCGTCCCCTAGCCGCCCGCAGGGCCGGAACTCCCAGCTCTGCGCTCCAAGACCGCGCGGCGCAACCTGCGCATGCGCACCCGCGTCCCGCTGCTGTTTAGCGGTTTCCAGGACTACGAAGCCCATCGCCCGGCATTGGAGAGCAAGAAAATGAAGCTCAAGAGCTTCCTGCTACGGTATTACCCGCCAGGTACGCGCCGGCCCGGCCCTGTCATCCCTACATGGGACTCCGGGCTCCGGGACTCGGAGGGTCTGGGGCGGAGGAGGTCGCGGGGACTGAGGGGCGTGGGGGAGGAGGGGGCCCCCTGGTGGGACAGGAAGTCGGGCACTTCCCAACCTGGGCGCCTCATTCCTTCAGACGCTGAACTCTTCCTCTAAACTTTAACAATTACTCTTTTAGGAATTTAAAGAGTTAAATTTGACTGTGCACATCAGTCCGTCTGCTTTATTGAATGCCTACTGTATACACGCTTTGTGCTCTGTGCCATGGACCTTTAAAGAAGTTTATAGTCCTTGATGCCAATGAGTGAAGTAATGATGAAACAAATTAACTATCAGTAACTTAAGCAATACATTAATTACTTAATCATTGCCTAACTCTAATTTTAGGACGTGGTCACCTTTAAAGAATAAGTGACACCCGTTGATCACCCAGTTTATTAGGGACAGAGATAGGAGTGGAACTCTTGGCTTCTAATTCAGAACTCACATTACAAATAGGAACATCTGCAAACGTGCCACAAGGCAGAAGATAACCAGATACACTTGCCCAGTGAAGTTTGGCTAGGAAATGTCATAAAGATTTCAAAAGAGGGTAAGATACTTTGGACCGGTTTGGTTTAGAATAGCTTTATGAGGGGTGGGAATTGAATTTAAGGTTGAATGTCGCACTTTTCCCAGCAACACATCCAACTGCTTGGTCAATATTTCCTTCCAAGTGTCTGTTGCACAGAGATCTCATTATTTCTTTCTTCCAGTCCCATCCCAATCCTGCTGCTTCCTCAGACTGTGCCCTGTAATGATGGCATCATCACCCTGCCTGTTTTTTGACAGAACCTAGGTGGTCAGGTGGTTGCTTTTTGTTTCTCTCTTGTGATCACTCACTACCCCCCTCCCCACCCCTTTTGCATTCCTTTATCCATTCTGCCAGCTCTAAGTCCAAAATATTCTGTGAATCCATCAGATTATCCCTCTTTCTATAGCACAGAGTGTTTGGTCTGACGTCCCTTTCAGCTGCTAACCTAGTCTTTTGGGAAAACCCTCCATTCCAGCCACCATTCCCTCTGGCTGGGCTACTCCAGTGGCTTTATAAGTGGATTTCTGGTTTTCATCCTCATCTCCTACAATCCATCTGCCACTAGGAGGCAGTGGGATCTGAATTCAAGATCTCGAATAGCTTCACATCATACTTAAGAATCAATCCACACCCCATGGGATTTGGTTCATCCTGTGCTGTTGACTTCTAAAACTTCCGACTTCTTTAGTTTGTTCTTCTAAGACTTCAGAGGGCCTTTTGCTCATTGTTCTTTTTTTGGACCCAGCTTTCCCTAGAGCTAGAAAAAGCTGCTTCCTTCATTCAGTTTCAATCAATGTCAACCACCTGAAGAGACTTTCCTTTCTCACCTATTCAAAGTAGCCTGCACTGATTTTACTCTATGCCATAATGTGTTTAAAAATTATATTTGACACCATCCAGAATTCTACTTGTTATGTTTCAAATGTCTGCCTCCTTCCCATTTAATGTAAACTGCGTGAGAACTAAGATTTTTTTTTTTTTTTTAAATCATTGTAGCATCCTCTGCTTCTGGAAGAAATTTAGGGACATGGAAGATTAGGAATGTTTGTTGAATGAATGTATGGATAAATGGATGCATTTGATAGAGGTCAGGTATTCCTGAGAATAAATACTGAAAAATCTCAGGGGATGCTGTTTCTGCCTCTCTGGAAGATGGAGCTTGAATAGCTACTTTCTCCAGTTGGAAGTTAGCAATTGTAGAAAAGACACTCATTTTCTCCCTCATAGAACTCCAGTTAAAATAACATAAGAAAGCTATATATATATGGGAGTATCTAGGAAATTTATTTTATTAAATTAATTAGTTTATTTAATTTTTGAGATAGAGTCTTGCTGTTGCCCAGGTTGGAGTGCAGTAGTGCGATCTTGGCTCACTATAACCTCCACCGCCTGGATTCAAATGATATTCATGCCTTAGCCTCCAAGGTAGCTGGAATCACAGGTGTGCACCGCCACACCCAGCTAATTTTTGTATTTTTAGTAGAGACAGAGTTTCACCGTGTTGGCCAGGCTGGTCTCGAACTCCTGACCTCAACTGATCCACCTGTCTTGGCCTCCGAAAGTGCTGGGATTACAGGAATGAGTCACTGCACCAGGCAGAGAGTATCTAAGAAATTTAAGTTAGACATAGGTTTATAGTATATAGAAAATTTAAAATTAAGACCAATAGTCTGTTCCTTTTAAGTGTTCCATAATTCCGTAATTTTCTTTTGGCTCTTCTTGCCCATAGGCCTGTGCTGGCTCCCATAGGTGTACCAATAAATGAAGCTCTTGCTTTCATCCCTTTGTTGTGGAGTGTAGGTTAAGAATATGGGCTCTGGGTTCAGAATAACTGATTCTCACCATACATGATCAAAAAAAACACTTGGGCAATTTGTTTTACTCTATCAAACCATGGGTACATGGTGACAACAGCACCACTTGACAGGTCTACTAGACCCCTCCATCTGCTCATCTTGCTTGCTTCTTTCTCTTCAGAGTAAAGAAAGTTTTTGGAAGAATGCTTTCCCCACTTGCTGTCCTCCCTTCTGGATTGAACTCCTATCGTGTTTTCACCCTCATTGCTCCACTGAAACTGCCCACTTCAAGATCTCCAGTGACATTCGCATTGCTAATCCACTGGCCAAGCCACAGTCCTTGCCTGTCTTGACCTGACAGCAGCATTCGACCCATTTGACCACTCTACTTCTTTTGGCTTCCAGGACAGATTCTATTTTTGTGTCTCATGGTCACTTCTTCTCTGTCCACTTTGTTGTTGGTTCTTCTTCTTTTTGATTATTTAATGTTGGAGTGCCCCAGAAACCTAACCTTGGATTTCTCTTTTCTATCTATGCTCATACACGAGGCAATCTTGTACATTCTCAAGGTGTAAAAACTATCCTGAAGCTGGGCCCTGTGGCTCAAATGTGTAATCCCAGCACTTTGGGATACTGAAGCGGGCAGATCACCTGACGTCAGGAGTTCCAGACCAGCCTGGCCAATGTGGTGAAACCCCACCTCTACTAAAAGTGCAAAAAATATTAGCCAGGTGTGGTGGTGCGGGTCTGTTACCCAGCTACCCGGGTGGCTGAGGCAGGAGAATCGCTTGAACCTGGGAGGCAGTCGTTGGAGTGAGCTGAGATTGTGCCAGTGCACTCCAGCCTGGGCGCCGGAGCAAGACTCTGTCTCAAAAAAACAAAAACAAAAAATAAAAATCAAACCATCCCGCATAGTCCTGAGTACCTAACTGCCCGCCAGGCAGATTCATCTGAATGTCTACTGTGCATCTCATATGGGGATCTCCTACGGTCAGCACATTTCAGCTCCATGTCTCCACTTGCTCATGTCAAACATTTTGGACTCTCCTCTCTCTCATACTCCACATCTGGTCCAATAACAAATCCTGCTAGTCCTGGCTTCAGAATATATACAGAATTCAACAGTTTCTTCTACCTGACCGCTACTGATTTTTTTAGCTTGAAAGCTTCCTTCCTCCTTTGACCCACTTCGGTCCACATGGCAGTGGGATAGCTCTGTTGGAACATAAATATGATCATGTCACTCTTCTGCTCCAGCCCTCCAATGGCTTCTCATCTCACTTAAAGTGAAAGGGACATGATTTCCAAGGTCCTGAAAAACCTCAGCCCCTGTTGCTTTCCTGACCTCACCACTTTCTGCTTTTCCCTCCAGCAGAACTCCTCTTCTTGGTGTTCCTTGGATGGGGCAGGAGTGTCCCCACTCAGGGCCTGCAGTTGCTGTTCTTTCTGCCTCGAATAATCTACCCATGGACATTTGTATCGCTAGTGCCCCATATTTTTAAACTCTTTCCTCAAAAGTGTGTAAAGTGAAGACTTAGATGACTCCCTTCTGAGCATTCCTATCTTCTCATGATATTTCACAGCCCCTTTCCCAACTTTGTCTTTTCTCCTTGGGGCTTTCTTAATCCAACTCATCATTATTTTACTCATTTATTTTGTTTATTCTTCCCTAATAGAATAAAAGCTTGATGAAAGTAGAAACTTTGTCTATTTTGTTTCCACCTTGTCTCTAGCACCCAGAGCAGAGCCTGGTGCACAAAATGACATTAATGTTTCTGTTGAATAAGTGAGTTTAATGAGATGACGTATGTTATGCAGAATGCCTCAAACTCTTTCTGAAATGTGAAAGGGTCAGATAAGTGACCTTTGATCTACTTCAGCTCTAAAAGCCTAGGACTCTTATAGCGATCTTAGATTCAGGTAATGCTCTTGACTCATGTTTGCAACTATTGCCTTAATGATTATCTTATAATGAGATCATATTACTTAGCACGCTTGACATTTAATTTCTGAATTCCAGTCTTTGGTGAGCCATATCATATGCAAGTTTCCAACATACTGCTGAAGAGCATGTAGGTGTTTCAATAACATTACCAGTTGGGAAAAAATCATTCATCACTGAATCATTCCCGTGCTACCTTTATCCCTTTTGCATATAGAGGAGTTTCGTTTTGCCTCCTAATCCTCTAATTTTCGCCCTCCCACTTTCTTTTGAATAACATATAGGTCAGGGCATTGTCTTGTTGCTATCTACTGAATGCTGTCTCCCTACCTACATTCTCAAAAACTAAATGCGCATACTAATAACATGGCTAATCAAACATGGGACATTCCTTTTCATCTTGGTCATATTTATTAACTCATAAGCTCTTTACTTTGGGAAGAGTGGGTGTTGACTATGTGCTTTTCAGCTGACTCAGTTATGATAATTTTTGTCTTTCATTTAATGTGTGAAGTCCATAGTTCTTTGGCCAGGAGAAGGAAGTAAGTCAACAATTAACTAAACTAGTTAACATTCTGAGCGCTTTAAAGGTTTCTGTTGATTGAGTATATAATCTAAGTAAAGAACACTAATATCATTTGAAGCATGCCCTTTTA